CAGGGAACCTCTGAACTCTGATCTTCAAGTTCAAGTCTTTGCAGAAATCCCATTTTACGCTTGTCCCTCTCCAGCTTGAAAAACCTCAGCTCTAGAATACCATTTACACTTTTCAGCCTGGCATTCAAGACCCTTCTCATCTGGCCCAAATCAACTTCCCCAAGGTAGTTCCCTTCCTCGCCTTAGACACAGAGAATCATCTGTTCCAGCCGGACCGTTCTCTGCATTACTGCCTTGGGCATATGTACAGTCTCACCTCCACACCTTGGCTGGTGACATTCCCTTTGTGATGTTCTCTGTATTTAGTCAGATGAATAATCCCTGGGTAATTTCAATCAATCAATTTCAATCAATGAAAATTTATGAGCACTAACCGCATGCCCAAAATGTGAGATACATACATACACATACACACACACACACATGAAATACCAGTTGTCTCCCCAACCCCCAACTATTCCAAGTAGGTTAGGAGGTACTAGCAGAAGAATACAAATGACTCTAATGCGAAGTAATCACGTTATGGTGTCCTAAGAAAGGAATATGCTGTGGAATATATCCTATAAAGGAGAATGTTGGGGAGATTTAGGAGAGGGAGAAAGAGAGGCTATTCATGAACATGGTACATATTTCCATTTACTTGGGTCATCTTTAACATTGGTCTTTTTTTTTTTAACAGACAAAAAATGGTATTTATTAAAAGAATGGCAGGCAAAGGATTAATATCTCTGATCTAAAGTAAGTACATACAAATTAATGAGATCAGTAAGTCTTGCCCCTAAGTAAATCAAACAGAGACTAGTCACAAAAGAAATGACTAATTGGCAAATGTGTGGGAAAATGTTTGGTTTTCATTTTTTTTTTTTTAAAGTCATAAGTTAAAACAAGATCTTCTCTTTCCTCTATCAAATTAGCACAGATTTTAGGCTATCATAAAGGTAATGGCCAGAGCAGTGAAATGAGCAGTTGAATTAATCACAGGTAGCAGCATATATTAAGCTTTAACACTGGTCTTTCAAGAATGCTCTGTAATTCTCTCCTTTTAAGCCTTGTTTATTCCTCCATATCCAATCTTCTTTTATTCCACTGCAAATGTTTACAAATTCTAAGTGTTCTAGATATACAAAAATGCAATTCATTTTTGTATCCTGACTTTTTGCACCCAGCCACCTTCCAAACGTTCTTACTATTTTTCTAATAATTTGACCACATATTTTGGGGGAGTTTCTATGTATGCAATCAGTCTATAAATAAGAGTGGTTTTATGTCTTCCTTTTTAATCCTTACATCTTTAACTTGTGTTTCAGCCCTATGGTGCCAGCCAGCATGACCCATTAAGCTCATTGCTGATTTTTTTTTTAATTTTATTTTTTATAAACATATATATTTTTTCCCCAGGGGTACAGGTCTGTGAATCGCCAGGTTTACACACTTCACAGCACTCACCATAGCACATACCCTCCCCAATGTCCATAATAACCCCACCTCATTGCTGATTTTAAAGGGATATTTCTTTTTCTTCTTCTTCTTTTTTAAAAGGTTTTTTTTTTTTTAATTTATTTGACAGAGACACACACAGCGAGAGAGGAAACACAAGCAGGGGGAGTTGGAGAGGGAGAAGCAGGCTGCCCGATGAGTAGGAAGCCCATGTGGGGCTCGATCCCAGGACCCTAGGATCATGACCTGAGCCAAAGGCAGATGCTCAACGACAGAGCCACCCAGGCATCCCTAAATGGCTATTTCTAACATTCCGCCTTTATAAATGTTTGCACCACATTAACAAGGAGATCAAATATCACCATTATTACCAATAATAGGACAAACTGACATGTCACAGGATGTAATCAACTGAGGATACGGTGTCATTTGTTTAACATTCTTGCCCCAAATGTATATTATATATCTCATCATGAGGAAAAAAATGTCAAAAATCCAAATTTTAAAATGTTCTGCAAAATAGCTGTCCTTCAGCTCCTTAAAAATGTCAGTATCACGAAATAAAGTAGAGTAAGAGATTTGACAACTAAATACAATGAACGATTCTCAGCTGGATTCTGGACCAAAAACAAAATTTCTATACATACGCATATGGAGAGAAAGATATACAAGAGAAAAAGTAAACCTGGCAGAATGTTAGCAAGAGGTGAATCTAAACAAAAGGTTTTAAAACTTCTATTTCTTATGTTAGTGAAATTCTCTTTTCCTCGTTTGCTAAGAACCTGTATCAGGAATGGTTAACTGAGCTTTATCAAGGCTTTTTTCCTGTATTTATGGAGATGACCATATGGCTTTCTCCTTTCCTTTGTTAATATAATGATTTACATTTATAGATTTATTAATATTAAACTGTCCTGAGTTTCTGGAATAAATCCAACTTGGTTAGAATATATCTTTTTTTAAAATTCACTGCTAGATTCGGTTTGCTAGCCATTTTACATACATCTTGAGTGAGGCTGGCCTGTCATTTTCCTTTCTTGTTCTCTCCTTGTCTGGTTTTGGAATCAAGGTTACACTGGCTCACAGAACAAGGAGGGGAGCCATCCCTCTTTTCCTATTCTTTAGAAATGTTTGCGAAAGATTGAAATAATCAATTCCTTGGAAGTTATACAGCAATGGCCTGTAAAATCACATGAACTCTATGGTATCATCTTTATGTATGCGATCTTGTGAAATGTAGCATATAAAAAAGGCATAAAACTTAAGTGTTCAACTTAATGAATTGCTGGAAAATAAATTACCCATATATCTGCCACCATCTCAGGCTAAGACTTGAACTATTATGAGCAACACAAAGGAGACCCCCCCGCCCCCCCATGGGACCTTTTCCAATCATAACACCCCCCTCCCTCAGGTGGTGATAGTTATCCTGGTTTCCTGGACAGTGTCTTGCTTGCTCTTAAAGTTTTTCTACTTACTTATACATCCCTTAAGGTAGAGTTTAATTTAGCCTGTATCTATCTTTACATAAACAGAAGGAGACAGTTTATAATTTGTTTGGTATCTTTCCCTCAAAACTGTCATTAGGATTCACCCATGTTTGGGGCACCTGGGTGGTGCAGTCGGCTGAGCATCCCGACTCTTGGCTTCAGCTCAGGTCTGATCTCAGCGTCATGAGATCAAGCCCTGTGTTGGGCTCTGTGTGGGGAGCCGTGCTCAGTGCGGAGTCTGCTTGAGATTCTCTCTCCCTCTGCTCCTCCTCCTGCTCTCTCTCTCTAAAATAGATAAATCTTGGGGCGCCTGGATGGCTCAGTGGGTTAAGCCTCTGCCTTCAGCTCAGGTCATGGTCTCAAGGTCCTGGGATCGAGCCCCGTATCAGGCTCTCTGCTAAGAGGGAAGCCTGCTTCTTCCTCTCTCTCTGCCTGCCTCTCTGCCTACTTGTGATCTCTCTCTCTGTCAAATAAATAAATTAATTAAATATTTTTAAAAAAATAAATAAAAACAAAATGTAAAAAAATAGATAAATCTTTAAAAAAATGGTGCCTGGGTGGCTCAGTCGTTTAAGCCTCTGCCTTCAGCTTGGTCATGATCTCCGGGTTCTGGGATTGAGCCCCACATCAGGCTCTCTGCTCAGCAGGGAGCCTGCTCCCCCCCTCCCGCCCCCGCCTGTCTCTCTGCCTACTTGTAATCTCTCTCTCCCTGTCAAATAAATAAATAAAATATTTAAAAGAAAAAAAGATTCATCCATGTTGTGGTCTGTATGTATGTTGTTTCCTTTTCACGATTATGTACGTTCCCTAGTATGGATACATCACGATTTATTCATGTAATTCTTTGGACATTTGAGTTTTTGCAGTTCGGTGACAATATGAACCACAATGCTACGCACAGTGTCGTCACTGTGTCCTGGCGCACAGAAAGACTGCGTGGACATACCTCGCAGTGGAATCTCGGGGTCGCAGAGTGTGTGTATTTTCCTCTCTACTAGAAACTGCCACGTGTGGTTCCAAAACACAGGCGACAGTTCACCCTGTCCCTGGAAGCATCTGAGAGTTCACGAGGCTCCGCATCCTCACCACCACTCATGATTCCTAGCTCCTCACATGTTCCCCGATCTGGTGGTCGTGGTGCTATCTCATTGTGGGCTGCTGGTGAGATACTCCTCAAGGGGGATTTAAAATTTATCTTTTGTAACTGATTTCTAATTCAGTTCCATTTGGACCAGAAAACTCGGTGTATGAGATTCCATTTTGTGTTTATGATTTTAACTTCTGGAGTCCTTCGTCGGGGGGCGGGGGACGGGGTGTCTAAGCCTGTTGTTCCTTGTTTCAGCTGACTCTCATTCATGGTGGCTCACATGCCTAACCTCACTCTGTAGGAGTTCTGTCCACATGTGGGATGCTTTCCTCTGAGGACACTCCCTGTCTGGCTCTGCTGGGAACCAGAGGCACTAGTAGCCAGTATCCCGCTAGTCTCTTTAGACGTTCTGCCTTGAGCCGACTCAGGCTCGGTTGGATCCTGAAAAGGTCTGCTGTTAGGTTAAGTTATATGAAACTACCCCTTTGGGGTTAAAAAAAAAACCTGTGAAACATCAGCAATTGCATATAGTATAACCTATACTGGTAACCTTTGCCTACAGGACAAGCTACTGCTTTCTGTTCGCTTCCCGCTTCCCTCTCTCAGACTGTTGACTCAAGATTTGCTTCTTTTTGTTGCGGAGGGAAGGTGGCTTTGGCGATTTCCCCAATGTCTTGTGAGCCCAGCAATGCATTACAAATTATATCTGATTCAGGAGTGAGCTATTTTGCTGTGGGGTGGAAGACAGGTCTTGGGAGTAGCTAGGCAACTGCTAAAAGCAGAAATCCTAGGATATGTATCTTTTTTTCCCAATGAGGAAACCAAAGCTCAAAGAAGTGAAAGAACTCAAGGTCACATGGCTGGTAAGAGGCAAGGTTAAGATCTGCAGCCACGCGTGAGACCAGAAACCCAGGCTCTTTCTACTTCCGCTGTCTGCACCGCCTCCAGAGGGCTGTGTGGGCCCGAAGCTTAGCCGGTGGCCTTACCTGGTTCAAGGGAATGACAAAGAAGGCCCCCCCACAGGAGCACTCAGTCACGACTGCAATGAAACAGGGGTTCACAGCGCAGAAATGATTGTCTTGGACGCTGTGGGTGATGGGCACCGAGTCGTAGCAGTTCTCCTTGCTGGCTGGTTTGCCAAAGACGTGGCGAAACTTGGAGCTCCGGTACTGGGAATGCCATGACATCTATGGGAAACGAACAGGACAAAGCGGGGCGTGAGGCTCGTGACGCTGACAGCAAGACACCTGGGGAGCCCCTCTGGAGAGGGCAGGACCAGGGCATCGGCCGGCTCTATGTGGACAGGGTGCTATCAAGGGCAAGCAAATGAACAGGATGTCATTGTGGCGACTTCTGTGGCTCTGGTGAGATGGTGTATGATTATCCCCGACCTGTTTGCTTGTCATCTCTTCACCTGTCGATCCGAAGGGCAGAAACGCCAGAGAGAAAACTCCCATTTCCTATCGGCCCACACCACTCCAGCCCAGCGATGTGGGTCACACTGTGTCCTCTGGACCCAGCCTGCCTGGGCTCCAATTCCAGCTCTGCCTCTTACCGGCTGGGTGAGCAAGTGACTTAACTTCTTCGGCCTCAGATTTCCCATCTGTAAAATGGGGATCACAAAATCATCTGTCTCACAGACTTGTCGTGAGGACTAAATCATAGGTCCCTTGATCTACAGTCTTAATTACTACCACGATTATCGTCCAGGCATCTTGAGCTTCCTTAGCTCCTCATTCGGCCCCATATTTGTTCACTCTAGTTACTGAGCGCCACTGTGTGACGAGGCCCTGTGCCTGGCACTGGGGGTTTGGAGAGAGTAAGCCTGAGCCCGCCTTAGAGGAGTGAAGAATCCTGTGGGAAGATGGGCCAGTGGGATCCAGTGTACTACAGATAATAATAAAGGTTAGTACATGGCAGTCTGGGAGGGCTTCCCAGAAGTGGTGACAAGTGACTTGTGATTTGAAGGATGAGTAGGAGTTGGCCATGTTGGCGGGGAAAAAGGTAAGGTGCGGGGAAGATGTCCCAGGCAGATGGAACAGCCTGAGCAAAGGTCAGTGGAAAAGCAAGGTGGGGGAATAAGCTGGCGTTTGTGTCACGTGCTGTGGGCAGTGGGCTAAGAGGGCTGGTGGTGGCTGCAGAAATCACCTTGACCTAAGGGGCATCACCTGTCTGGACCCCTCCTGCCACCTCTGGTGCTCTCCCTTCGCAGCCCGGCGCTCAGCCCCACACTTGAGGGATGGCTCCCTGCCCAGGGTCAGGGTCAGGAGGCCTCAAGGGGCCCAGGCAAGGATCCTCCTTCAGCTCAGTCACTCCACGGCAATGACAACTCACAGTTTTCAGGGTGCTTGCTACGTGCCCGGTGTCATTCCCCGTGCTTCCCTGTATGGACTTAACAGGTAGCTGCTACCTTGCTCCCCACTACAGAGGCAGAGAAGTTGAGGCAGAGAAGCAAAGGAGAACCCACTCGAGGTCACACAGTGAGCAAGCTGGAGCTGAGGGCTGAAGCCAACACCCCCCCCCCAGCCTCCAGCTCCAGGTTCCCGCAGATAATGACGGTGATGAGAGTCTCGTTACTACCCATCACCTGCTCGATCTCGCCCCAGCCCGGAAGCAGAGGCATCACGACCATTCTCACCCCCACTTTACAGAAAAGTAAAACAAGGCTCAGGAAACTACGCGGACACCTTCTGGAAAGAGGGCTCTTTGCTTCCACTGTTGAAGCCAGTGACTGTGGAACAGCGACAGAAAGCTAAAACTGTGTTCACGACCTTCTGTCCCCTTGCCCCCAACTCCACTCCCCACTCTACCCCACCCCGGGCGCCTTATCTCCCCTGGCAAAGTTCTTCCAGACCTGTTGCCTCAGACGGAAACGTGCAGAAGTGGGGGATGGGGCCAAGCCTGGCCGTCTCTCCCTCCCCCGCAGTATGGGAGTGTGCACCCATATACGTGGGTGAAGTCTGTGTGTGCAAATGTGTGCATGAGTGCAGCATTCATCATATGCACGGGTGTGCAAGCATGTGGGCATCTCTTTGGGTGTTCGGTTTCATCTGGGCGTGCATGGGTGTTATCTGTGCATAAATGAATTTAGGGAATCAGCAATTCAGAGAATGGATTTTATTTCCCCCACAAGCAGGCACTTGTCTGGAAATGTGGACTGCCGTGGGCCCTTGGGACCTGGAGGGCCCTCACCCATGGGCTGGGCCAGAACAGCCTATCTGGGCCAGGTTTAGCCCTTGCCACCAGTCCCATCCTGCCTGGTGCCATCCAGTGGGCCCACATCAAAGCCACAGCATGCCTTCTTAGGTGTGGCAGGCTGGTTCGCTGGGGCACAAAGTGGGGGGTGGCTTGTGCGGCTGCTATCCCCATGCGTGTCTAGCAAGCCTGATGCCACAGGATTAGGCTTTGTGGGCTGCAAATTCCCTGCTTCCCCCCCCCCAAAAGATTAGTCATCTCTGGGTTTTAACATCCCATTGAGTTTATTTCTTAACGCCTGACAGGAGAATGGCTTGGTGCCTTTCCCATCCCTTCCAGCTCCCCTGCCAGGTAGGTGCAGGCTCTTGTCCCACTTGAGGGCAAAACTGAGGTGCCAGGGAAGTGACTTAACCAAGATCAAACTAACAGGAGCAATGGGAGGTGGGAAGCAGAAGTCAAGGCTTGCCCCAGAGGCCCCTCTTCCTGCACGCCTTCCTCTCTGACGTGTATCTCTCTCTCTCTCTCTCTCTCTCACACACACACACACACACACACACCCCTTTCCCGCTGGGCCCCCCAAGGCCTGTCTTCCCAGCCCAACCGGGTCTCACTGCAGGACAAGGGTTAGCTGCAGGATGAACTGGGTGTGGCACAAACTAGCATTATGGATTATTCATTAATTGCCTGTTCCTGGCCTCAGGAAAAGCGTGACTTGACCTAATTTAGCATTAGACTCAGGCGAGGGTAGGGGTCTGGTGCTGCTGGCTACTATGATCCCTTTGTAAGTTTGGTTCCTCATGGAAGATTTGCAGTGTTATTTGTTCTCTTAAGACCTGCCCACTGCACGTGCCTCGGGAGAAGGTCAAAAATCACCATGCTTAGGTCAATGCAGTTAACAGAGGGGAATTAGAACCATGGTTTCCTAGGCTTAAAAAAATGAAAAAAGGGGTGCCTGGGTGGCTCAGTGGGTTAAAGCCTCTGCCTTCGGCTCAGGTCCTGATCTCAGGGTCCTGGGATCTAGCCCCGCATCGGGCTCTCTGCTCAGCGGGGAGCCTGCTTCCTCCTATCTCTGCCTGCCTCTGCCTACTTGTGATCTCTGTCAAATAAATAAAAATCAAAATCTTAAAAAAAAAGACTACGGTAAGAAAAAGAATACTCTGAAGGTGATGTACGAAGACCAAGAGTTAACAAACACCTAATTATGGGCGGGTCCCTCACCTTGACTCCAATCCCTGACCAAACTATTATCCATCATAGGGCTTATCCTGATCCTGACCTTGGCTCCAAACTTGGCAGGAAATCTTCTTTCTCTTTCATCCTGAATCCTTATCAGGTCCTCTGATCCACCCCTGAAGGAGGCAGGACACCTGGATCAGGAAGCAAGGCCCAAGTGAGGTCAAGGCGCCCTGCGGTCGACACGCATCTCTGCTTAACCAGCCATTCCCAAGGAGGCTTCCTTTCTCACCAGGCAGAAAGAAGAAACCACAGGTCTTAGTGACTTCCTGCTAGTGAGAATTTTATCCACAGTTTCTGCTCACGAGTTTCTGCTCATCTGAGGCCAGGCCCTGGTTTGTCACTTCTTGGCATAATCTCTATTTTTGCCTTCCACGGGCCAGCAACAGGGTCTGCAGTGATACAGCGGGAGCCGGGGACCTGGGGCCTCAGGGTCTCACCCTACTGGCTTAGTTTTCTTCCTTCCTTCAGAGCGAGAAGAGGCCTTGTCGCTCTCCACAGAAGCAGGGGGATCACCTGTCCTGCTTTGCCCGGGATGTGGGGAGAAGAGCTGGGGGATGTACTCCTGATGCTAAAATGGAAAATGCCTGGGAAAGTCCTGGGCAAACAGGGGCAAGTTGGGCACCCCACCAACCTCAGAGGTCTCCAGAAAACTGTTATCTGATTCACAAACAACTTGTCAGAGTCAAGGTTACAACTGACTCAGACAACCTGCTCATTGAGGCCCTAGAACAGACTTCCTGAAGAGCCCAACATCCTGAACCAGAGCGCGGCACTTTCAAAGCAGAAGAACACAAGGCTTGTCAAGGAAGGTGAAGCTGCCTTAATTCAATCAGCAAGCTTCATCTGCTGTTGGTGCTTCTTCTGGGTCAGGCCCCCTGCTGACACCGGGGTGCAGGGGTGGGGGATGGGCAGTGCTGTCCCTGCTCTGCGTCTGTGGACGCCTCCCAGGGACATGGCCGAGGGCAGGAAGGTGGGAGATGGCGTGATCTTAGCCTGCTAAAGCACGGGGCCGCGGGCTGTGACTTCGAAGGCACACGAGCATAAGGGACATTAGATCACTGGGTGTGGGAGCCCCACCCTGGTTCTGTCTGACACGGGGCGCTTGTGGCTTCTAGATTAAAGTCACAGTGAAGTACAAGGAAATAACATGTAAAATGCAGCTCCTCCATCACCTTAGCAACGTTCCACGTGCCCTACATGTGGCTACTGGGTACCCAGTTAACAGTGTAACTACAGAGTTACTACAGTCCCCCATACCTATGTGACTTTGGGCGGGTGACTTCACATGTCTGTTCCTTCACCAGCGAAATTCGGCACAGTAACAACTAACAGCTACCGCATCGCTTACTTTGCATGAGGTAGGCTCCGTGTCCTAACTCAATCCTCAAAGCAATCCCCTGTTATCATCCCATTTTTACAGAGGAGAAAGCTGGGGGCCCAGAGAGGTTAAGCAGCTTGTCCGAAATCACACAGCTGCTAGTAGGCGGCTGAGCTCGGCATTTGAAGCCAAACTGTTGAGTCCTGGGTCCACACTGTCTCACAGGGCTCCTTGGACAATTCAGTAAAATAATCCACACAGCATATGGAGTGATGCTGGGTGCATACTTAGTGGTCAACAAATGTTTGCTGTTAAGACTGCTGTGGTCCTGAATTTAGTGCACTCTAGGATGTGATGTTGTATGTGACAGGTATGTGTTGAGGGCCCAGCATTTTGGAGATCTGAGTAAAAATCCCAAACCAGAAAGTGCAAAGCACA